TTTTCCCCTCAAAACAAGTTAGGCTAAAAACTCAAAACACCACGTTTAGCCACCTAAGATGGCTAAACAAAATCTGTCCCTTGAAATATATAACAGTCAGTAGCAATAATATGAATCCATTTATTAAAAGATTTTATTCATATTTGTCCTACATCACTAGATGTGGGAATAAAAATGAATAAAACAATTTTTAAAAAAATTATACACACAAGAAAAATCTGCAACATGAACTAATTACTGAATGAGGTGAAGCAATGTTTCAGCAACCAGTCTTTACAGTAGATGGCAATGATTGTATTCCATATGACTAATTCCACTTTTTATTTCTATTCATCTCAAGATTTGGCAATTAGAATTTTTTCAGCATTACCTAAGGGAGTTTCAGCGACATTGGTTGGAACAAAATAAGGGGGAGTTTAAAGGACTGATCTTGTACATCAAATTTCATCCTATCTATTATAATAATGGACATTGTGGTATAAGTACACAGGCAGATGCATATCTGTTATCACACTGATTGTGAATACCAATGTTTTCTTCCATATGTGGCAGTCCCTTACTGAATCAGGAGAAAATGTTGCTTTCCAATTACTGTATTTCTTGTTTTAAACATAATAAACTGTGTCAGCTTTAGCAAGGAGAAAAGATGGTCTAGAACAGTGGTTCTCAACCTATGGGTCGCGACCCCATTTGGGGTCGATCGACCACTTTTCGAGGGTCGCCAAAGGCGGCGATCTGCCATTTTCTCCCCTCCGGGGGTGGCGCCACGCATGCACACCGCGCATGGGGGCAGCAGCACGCCTCCGGGGGCGGCCCTGCGCATGCACGCCGCGCATGGGGGCGGCCCCGCGCATGCGTGCCGTGCACGTGGGCCCGCCCCCATGTGCGCCGCGCCACGCATGTGCATAACGTTTGTGTGACAGGGGTCGCCGTCACACAAACGTTGAGAACCGCTGGTCTAGAAGAATAGCTCTTCTGTATTTCTAAAACCTAGTAAATCTTGAGAGGCTTTCTGAGCACAAAACTACTAGAAGATTGAGTACTTATTATAGCTTTATATCATCAAGCTTATAGCAAATATTATTTAATAACTTTCCACATGGAAAGTCCACTCAGTTTTAAAGGTAAAATCAGACTGATTTTATATTTTCATACATAACTCTTACTTGGTTACATCTGAAGTATCCAATAAAGGACATAAAAAACTAAGGGAAAGCATAACCATAACTACAATACACACCGAATATCTTAAGCAGTGATTTTTCAATGACATTTTACTTTATTTTATATAGAAAAGACATAATCTATTACCCGTAAGATGTACAGATTCTCTACCAAACAAGTAGTTGGATGATAAAGCTGCACATACCTTTTGAAAGATTAGTTTATATATATATATACAGTACTGCTTAGCAAAATCTCGGAGTCTTCTTTCTCTCCTTCCCTTCTCAGTCTTTTCCTGCTATCTCTCTTCCATAACTCAACTAACCCAACAGAACCAGCCAGTTTTAAATTTCAGTTGGGACCTCAGTGACCTGTTAATGAATCTACAGAGAGGAGGAAAAACTCACTGTGTTGAGTTATGCCTGGTGTTGCTAGCTGACTAGGAGTCAGAAATGCTTGAAGCGTTAACGTAATTGGAAGAATGTGAAAAATGAAGCGTTGGACTCCTGAGCAAAGTGAAAGGTCAAAGCAAGACTTATACAAAACAACTCTCTGGAAGATGGCCTCATTATACTATTAAAACAGTTTCTTTCCTCCCTTGCCCACACCTAGTTTTCTTCCTTTGTAAAATGTTTAGTATTTTATTTCTATTAATAGGTTTAATTAATCTTTCTAGTCTTTAAGTAAGCAAGTTAATAAATGCATACAAGAAAAGAAAGCCAAGTATATTTAACTTTTTGATCTTAGATAGAATAATATTGTCTGAAATAATTTTGCCTCTATGGATCTGAACCATGGTAAGGTAGTAAGTGGTACGAATACTAATGCAGCCATTACAATATTACAATGTATAGAATAGTTTACTTGAACAACTAAGATGACTTGCTAAAAAAACCTTATAGAACCCAGCTAATATAATAAGGATTATCTTTCACTGAATAATGCTCAAAGACTTTAACTCTTCCACTACCAGCATTTAAATTAACTCCATTGTAGTTTTCATTTCATACTTTTTCATTTTATAAGGGAGCACTGTAGCTTTTTTATAAAATATATTTATAAATATAAAATTTAAAATATTTATAAAATATATTCTTTTTTGACACATTTATCTTTTTTGCATCTTTTTGCATTTATAAATAATGATTTGCTAATAAACTTTGTTATGTTCTCCCAAGTTATCAAGTACCATGTGTAGAAGGTTCAACTATTCCAGTGTTGTTCACCTCCTCATGACACACATACAATGAGTATATGCAATGAAAAATGCATTACGGATTATACCATAAAGTAATATTTCTTGTTTTATCAAACTATAAAAGCTGGGAAAGAAAAAATGATGTGACACCTACAGATAAACACAGATAGTGTATGGAACAGACAGTAGTGTATTAGAAATCAACAAAACTAAAGTATGACAGAGAAACTACTAATACTTGCTTCTCAGTGTATTGTAATAGAGCCATTTTATATAACCATTTTATATAATTCTTCATCCCAAGGAACTTTTATTGATGTTTTAGAATTTTGCATGCATATGTCTGTGAAATCATCATAGTAAAGTTCAGCTTGAAGGGGAGTTTTACCTTTAGAATCCTATAGCAAACTCCTTTAAACACCTCATTCCCACCATAGTCAATGGAATTGGGGTTGGCCAAGTCTTAGGGATAAGAAAAGCAGGGTTTGAAGATTTAATCATAAAATTTAAAAAATTTAGATTCCCACATTCTTGATGTATTAAATTAAATAACAAGGCTTAGAAAAGCACTCTAGATCAGACATGTCAAACTCGCGACATCACATGACATCACACAACGTATCGGGACAGTTTTGCCATTGTTGGCAATGGGGTGGGTGCGGCTTCTACGTGACACCTCCGGTCTGCAGGCCGGCAGTTTGACACCCCTGCTCTAGGTGAAAATATTGACTTCTAAACATAATACAAACATTGTTGAGTCATTACTGCATCTGACTCAAGTCAATGGAAAATTTTAAAAACTAACTACACTTGTTCAAAGTAGCCTTTTAAAAACTATTTTTAAAGAAAACATGCCTTTTCAACTGATGACTGGTTTTATTACAAAAAGCAGCCATACAACCAATTGATATGGCATCCATTACACAGAGATATAATTCCTAGTTCCATCATTCCAATCCAGATTATTTCTCCAAGCCACTAGGAAGATATTTTTTCCTGAATGGTTCATAGCAGCTTGTGTCTGCATGTGATTTGAATCAGGGCCATTCCTTGAGGCAAAATTTAAATACCTTCTGTGCCACATCATGGCTCAGACCCAAATCACGCCTTGTAGTATGTAGCTATATACCTTAATCTAAGCTTTCCCACAACAGCCTCTAGTCTTGGAAAGAGAAGTGAAAAAATACTGGACAAATATTACTGAGGATGGTCCTGATTTCTGGAACAAAGATAAACAAGCACAGAGTATTTGTTGCTTTAGGACATGAAAATTTACTTGTGATGAAAGTAAATAGCTATTAATCTACTTTAGTGAGTTCATCATGGAGTTCATCCAGGAATTATACAGATTCACAATATTCATTTGTTTTTAAATATACACAATCATATATATAGGAATCAATTATTGCAACTGATATGAATAAGCTTTAAAAAACCCCACCTGAAATATAAAATTTAAATCTGTTGGACAAATTATACAAAGCAAATCTACTTTTGCTCATATGAAAGCAAGCATATCTTCTCTAAACTTTTGGTTTCTATATAAATAACTGGCATCAATAATATACTTTCTTAAACTGAAGTTAACACAATTATAAAGATGTAGGACAATTTTGGAAAAAAAAACCTAGATTATTAACACTGGGAGGTTATCAAACATCCAGTTTAATCTTTGCAAAAAGATGAACAGCTAAATTTTAAGGATTTTTTCTGTTAAGTTCAATAATTAAATATGATTTTTAAAAACATTGTTTATGCAAACTGGAAGTATTAAGTCAATAAAGTGTTAGACTGAATTCCAATCCCAAATTAACAGGGAGCAAATCCTATTTAATTCAATGTGACTTATTTCTGAATGGCTATGAACATTATTGCCCCATTAAGTGTATAAAATGTTCACGTTAACCATATTAAAGTAGGACTATAATTATGATGGGCACAATGCCTACGTCTTATACCGCAATTCTAAAAATGTTATCTGATATAACTAATACAAACTTAACTTATTCCCAATTAAAGTAGGGTAGGTAGAAATATTAAGTGGTAATCCACAAGCAACTCATTACAAAAGAAATTCTTGATTTTAATAGACTACTTTAGTATAAAATCTACAGTCAATTTCAAGCCATTCAATAAATGCATATATCTTTTGTGTAAATGAGTCAAAATTGTTTTTGTTTTCTTTCTGTACTGGATTAAGAATGTTTCAACTGGCTTGAAAAGCCTTTTTTCAGTTGACAGTAATATTTTTCCATTTAGAGACTAGCATGAATTGCTGCACCACAGCTGGGGTGCATGCCTGCCATGATATTTACTTACACTACACATGCACACACACACACACAAACACACACAGAAAATCCTGTAGTAACTAAATTTGTAAAGGAATTGGCAGAACTAATCAATTGTTATTGCAAAGCTTGTCTGAAGATTAGATATTTGGCTTTGAAATAAAAATAAAATATAGCTAAGAAGGTTGGAAAAAGGAAATAAGTGTCTCCCTAAGTTACAGCTGATTACATTGCAAGCCTGCCACTCTTGTGTTTACACTAAGGCAGATGTACTGATATAATAAAAGACACTGAAGTTATTTTAGTCATGCCTACTTTGCACAGGGGAAAAAAGCTTGACCTTTTACCTTGCTCACTGCTGTTGTCTCCACTCTGGGAAGCATGGCCCCCACTGGAAGGCCCTGGTGTGCCTGCTGAGTGCGTTGACGTTGCGTCATCATGATCTCTCCAAGAGGAAGGATTCTGGTGTCAGAATGTCCATTTTTTCCCACAGTTATCATTCCAATAGCAAATCGAGGAAGGGAGATTGGGAAGCCAGAAAAAAAGTAGGCAGGTTAGCATTTTCAAATATTCCCAAAATTCAGACACTGTTCAGAAGCAAATGATTACTGAGGTTGCAATCCTATACCATTTTACCTTGGGATGTGTTCTCCTGAAGATATGAGATTTATTTTTGATTCAATAGGTACAGAAATATATTAATGACATACTAACTATATTTAAGTCACTTTCATTTTCATATATTTATACCATAATAAAGTGCAATTCTAATATTTTAAGGTTTTTCTCCTTAAAAGAGTTTTGTTTTTTACTTTTTATACTTGTAACAACCAGCTGGTCAGGTAAGGAAATATTTTAATAATTTATATTTACATGGTCATAAAATAATTCCATAGACAAACCAATAAAGGCATATTAAATTCAATAGCAATTATTCTCAAGTAAATCAATATGTGATTGCTGTCTAGTTCTGATAATAAAAAAAAGCACTAGAGACATTCAAAAACACAGCTGAACTACTATTTCTCTTTATTTCAGTTTTCCCTATCAAATCTGCAGCAGGGTATTTTTTTCTAATATGGTGTGGACAATTAATAATTATAACATGCACAAAACCTTTTTTTTCCTCTATTATAAAATCTATTACAAATAACATGCTAAACAAAATATACCTAATACGGAAGATGATGTTTTAAAAAGATTATGCAGCTAATGGTTAGCTAGTTATGTAAGTTTAAATGGTCAATTGCAATATATTCATCTATAAACTTTCTATCTGATATATAATGGTAATACATGCACTAATTGAAGATTTGACAAAGCTTCCCTAATTCTACAGTAGTTTAGTAATATAATTCCCATTTTTTTTAAATGTATTGATCATTGGTTTTCCTGAAGAGAACTGCTACTTTAAAAGGTACATGAAGAAAGCTGAAAGTTGCAGCTAACTGCTACTTCACTAAGCTTTTTCTCCTCTTGGTCCTCCTCCCTCTTCCTGATCATTCCCAATACCCTGCTGTTGCTTAAAGGAAAACAGGAATTCTACTGTACAGGAAAAGCTTTATCAGCATCACATGAAGGCAGGCAAGGGATGGAATTTCCTCCAGCAGAAAAGGAGAACAAGAACACATGCAATAGATCAGACTTAGAGCTGAACTTCCATTGCTTGTCACCCGTCCATGACAACTTAAATTAAACACATCCTAACAAGAAGCACTTTTGTAAAATAGTCTACATTCAGGGAAATATCATGAGCCCTAAGCAATTCCAAAGAGAAGGCATCAATATTTACTTTGTAGTAAACTTCAGCATCACCTCAACAACTACATCTAAAAATTTAGAAAATTTAGAAAAATATCAATCCATTCAAAGCTGGAGATGGAAAATCATCCCAATAATTAAAGCTTTTTAATGACTCCCCCAAAATTATTGTGTTTTGAGCCAAATGCTAAATTGCCAGATTGGCACTGAAGCATGTCTACATAATAACTCAAGTTATCATCTTTAAACCATGTTCTAAATAATCTGTCTTATAAAAATATCAAGATAATCACATTAGATAATCACATTCCAAAATCAAACCAACAATCAAACAACAATCAAACCAACACTAAACTGAATGGGCATTAATGTCTAAGCAGTGAAAGCCAGATAAATGGAAACAAATACTTAATAATCAGAAAACAAATAATCAGAAAACAAATACTTAATAATAACTACACAACTCTCTTTCTTAGATCAGTAAAACTATCTACAAAAATAAATCAAAATTGAAATGCAGCATTTAAAAAATAATTTCCCATCAAACTAATCTACACATTTTTCCATAAATCAATTTCTACATTATACAAAGTCACACTGAAAAATAACAATATGCTACAATTAAAATTAATACTCTTCAAATTAATATTCTCCTCCCACTATGTACAAAAATAATACCATGTTGTAAATCGGAAAGTTTAAAACAAAAGAAAACAAGTTAAAAGAGTCTGAAATGTTTCAATTTTATACTTATATCTATTATGTGTGTCTATATGGAACACACAGAGATGCATACACATATGTATACACACAAAAAACTATTTCAAAAAAGCAATGATGATTAGATTTCAGAAAAACTTATATGGAAATAAAATGTCACAATCAAGCAAGTTTCTGTGCAGTCTCAGTTAAACAGATTGAGCCTATGAGCTCCTCTTTTTATCTCTGAATTAGGAAACCACTCAAATAGCTTCAAGCTGAAGGCAAACAGCAGACAGGAGCACTTTAGTCCTCTGCAGCCTCTCTCAGTGTCAGCTGTTTGCCGGATGGTAATCAGATAAAGAGTTAGAAGAAATACATGAAAAAGGTAACAAAACAATAGCCTGGCATGCATTTAGTCCTTCAATATCATGTTGAAAGCTGCTCTTTATAAAATTTATAAAATGTATTTTTCTAGGGCACGTATTTCAGACACTATAATATTAATGCTATGTTCTGCAGGTTTTCTTAAAAGTAGCTCCTGTTGAAAGTTCTTAGTTCACTATTACAATTTTAGTAATATCTTAGTTAAGTTTCAAGGCACATGTTAACCAAACTCATACAGTACTTGAAAAACCAGGTGTTTCTGGTTTAGAAAAGGACACTGAGTGAAACTTCTTGCAGCAGAAATCATTTGCTTTTTATACCAATTTATGTTATCCTCTACTCAGAGATCCAATCTCAATTAGAAGGAGGAAATACCAGGCTACATACATTGATAGCCATTTGTGGAGTGGAAAACCTATAGCTCTCTTTTTTTTTCTTCCCAGAAAAGGAATAGTAGAGGAACTTGGGAAGAATATATGGGATATTTGTGTTTCAACTTCAACTTCTCAACTGTTCCCTAGCTCTGCCTGACATTAGGTTTGGCTAATAACCATACTCAGTCATTCGTTATTAGTATTGTAACAAACATGACACCACATCCATAATTTGAAAGCATTACTCATGACCAAATAATCAGTCTCATCCACAAGTCAATGGCAACAATGAGATCTTTCATTCTGGGTATTTCCACAGAATTATTTAAGTAAATTTGGTCACAGATTTATTTATTTCATTAGAGTAAGATGCTACCCCACTCCACAAAAAATCAAAGTCATCCTAGGGAGACAATTAGAAAAATAATTTTCTACTTTTAACATAGTAGGCTAATAGTGTCCTTCCAGAAGATTTAGCTTCTTTCATCTAAAAGATAGTATGCTACCATGGCATTTTACCTTGAACTAAGATTTACTTGAAAGTGTACTTTGAGGCAAATTTGGGGAGAGAAGAGTAACTGGAAAAATTGCAAGAGAAAATACTGAGAAATTGACCCTTTGCATGAACAGAAATCCATCACATTGTACATGGTATTTGATAGCCCAATTTTCTAGCAAGTTTGCTATGTATTCATACATAGATACTGCATGTTATTGATTAAATCCACTTTCTGAAAATGATTCAAACATACCATTATCTTTGGATGCTAGGGCAGTTTTATTTATGTAACCCTGTAGGTTTTGAATAATTGAAATTCATATGTTGATAATCTATGTGCTGAATTCAACTGGAATCAATTTTTCTTATATAACCACAAGAGTATTGAAGAATTTATATTTCAGTATTGTATAAAAAATCTGGCTAAATTTAAATGTGATAATAATACATACAGCATACATCATCTCAAACAACATACATACTGAGCTGAAAAGAACATAACCTTGTAATCAGAAAAACTAAACTTTTATACTTATGAAAATATAATTTCAGTATAGCAGTATGCTGAAACATTCAGAAAGCAGCTTAGCGTATGAAAAACTACCGAAAAAGTTAACTCACATTATCTAACTATCTTTTGGAAATGGTGTGTTTTGCTAAGACTATTACCTGAAGCCAATGTTTAGTAGCAATGCAAATGTTAAGGGAAGGGGGGTACTTTGATCATCATCCATATTTTTTTAAATTATTATTCCAACCAATAACTTAAACATGGGGCAGCATAAGAATTGAATTAAGACAATTATAACCTGTAAGTCACAGCAACTATTTATTTAACTCTGTATATAATCTTATGGCACATATTTAAACAGTAAAAAAATATGAATATGTTGAATTGAATCACCAGCTGAAGTGCTATGTACTATGGAATGCAGAGTTCACGTGTATCTATTCCCAATAGTTTTAATAATTGCGAGTCAAATATGGCACTCTTCTTGCTCTTATCTAATTGTGTTAAAGAGCAGTGTTACCAGGAGCAAAGCAGTAATACTGAGTGGCACACAATAGAAGGAGATGGAAAATAGATACAAGAAGCTAGGTCTCCAGGGGCAGTATTTTCTATTTGCTGGGCTAAGACTCACAGCTGATAATGCAAGTTGTAATTAATATAAAAGCAGGAGACAATATGGGGAAAGCTTGTACTAGCAGGGCCACAGGAGATCACTCTACAGCTATCTACTGTTTCTCATTTATGTATACAGCTTTTCACAATTTTACCAGTACAGTATTTTTTCCCTTGAAAGTTAAAAAAAAATGATTTTGCACCATCATTGGATTTTGCTAAATCTAAAGAAGAGCGTGGAAAGGACAAGACTCTAGGCATATGAAGCAAATGAACTGCATACTATTTTGCTGTTCTTACAAATCTAATGGAAGTTTTAAATGTTTTAACTTCCACATGCTTTTATTTAAAGAAATGAAATATTTTCAACACAGACCTGTTTTATAATAATTATTTATTAACATTCCTCAGTGGCATGTAATTGTTTATATGCTTAAATACTGGTCACTCATCTTGTACAATACCAAGGTTAGTGATTTAATAAGCCTCAAACTTCTGTGTAAAGGACAGCTTACACAGATACAGATGGATTAACTCTGCATTCCTTATGCAACCCAAACTTTCACTGGGCAAAATCACTTTAATTATGCAAGGGCCCCCCTGTGGGGTCGATTCTGAT